TCCAGAATCAGATACAACAGGGGAGAATGAATTGTGTCTGAGTTTGAGAAGCCAGCTCTTCTGGTTAATAATCTTAAAATACCTGTATTGCTAAATTAGGGTATGTATAAATATAGTTCTGATTAATTTTTCTGAGAACAACAGAATCCTGAGGCAAATACATGAGATTTCATCATTGCTTACAGATACAAGAAAATTCATTATGCTGTAACTACTAGGTGAGCAAATCCAAACCCACTATTTTAACAGTATTTCAAGTAGGTTAAAGATGCTGAACCATAGGCTCCCCAAAATCTGTACTGCAAAATTGGTCCATTAAAGGAGACATATTAAGCACTATTTTTAAAAGCTGGTTGTTTGGTTTTTTAAAGGAGAATATGTTATTTATTGACATTGCAACAAAACATCTGCAATACACAACAATGCACCCTCTTACACAATAATATTTAAGCCACTAATTGTACATTACATCATTACTTTCTTTTCAAAAAAATAAACAGAACCAAAACTTGATATATGAAATTTTTAACTCATACATTTTGTTACACTCCTTTACTGAAAAGCTGGCATTTTCTGGGAATGGGGAGGGAAGTCTCAGGAGTCAGGAAGGAGGCATACCTAAATCCATAACTATTTGTTTATGGACCATGTTGTATGAATCCTCGGCTATTAAAAGTTGCCACATGTACACGATTCTCATATCTCTTGCAAATTATTGTCATTTCAGTGTTTCTGCTGGACTGTTTCCCTACAGCAGACTTGTGGCACAAGTATATGTATAAATCAATACAAAGCTGGTTATACAGCAATTACAGTAAGCATGAAATATTCTTTCTAATTGGTCCAGGTCTGAAATGACTATTACTTCTTTCATGTATTTTACAAATCTCTGTCCTTTTATTAGGTGTTTCAAAAATTACAATTGATTAAGCTCACTTTTAATTGCAGGTGACATTTCAGAAGTGCCTTGGAATATGGTTTTATACACAATTACATAAAAGGAGAGGTTTCTATATTTTTTGTCCAACCCTATCCATAACTCTCATAACTAATAATGTCCATAATTCTAAGGGGTTATTCCCATTAGAATTCCCTCCCTGTTACTAGTGTGCTCTGTGCTGTTGAGGATTCCTTGAAATGTGCTAGCACCAGGTCATTATTCTGTCACTCCACCTTATGTTGTCTCATTATACAAACGCTTGGAGGCTTTTAAATATATTTAAAGTGCTTATGTGACATACGTAAATAGCATGCTGGATAGAAAGTTTACTTTAAAAGTTTGCTGAACTTCTGAAATGAAATTATCTGACCCCTTCACAGTGAAGAGCAGCACTTTATTTCTGGCTCCTTATCAGGACACTTAGTGCCTTTCATTCGAATTTTGTGTAGGTTATTTCAGACTTTCTTGTATACCACTGACCAGATTTTCTCTGTTAACGTCTCTGCCACCATTCCTGAGATGGTAAATTCTTCCCACCATTTTTTAACTCCATTTTTTTCCTTCAAGGTCTGTTCTACACTGTTAGAAATACATCTTACTAGTGATGTACTAACCTGTTCTTCATTCTTAAGAGCTTTAGTTCCAATAGCAGAACATTTCCTTAAAACCTATGTTTTTGCAGCTTCTGGTGCATTTTCACATTCCTAACATTTTAAATAAAGCTTTAGCATTAGTCCCGTATTCTGAAGTCAGTTTTATTTCTTTGATTACTGATTTCAGTATCTTCACATATAATAACCTTCTATGCTATGTGCTTCAGGGACACTGTGCAACTACCCTTATTTATATAGTTTTTGGATTGTTTATAAATCTTAGGTTTTAGTAACCTAGTGCTAAGTTGGCCCTTTCCCTAAAGTAGTTCTTACCCTAAATCCTGAATTAAGAGTCTATGAATACAGGTGCTCTACTGAATATCTATTATTAAAAATGAAGCCCTTTAATACCAACCTAGACCTAATTTATTCTACATGTTTGCAATGCTTCAGTAGAATACTTCTATATAGGGAACCACTGTGTATCAGGTAATGGTCATCATACACAGATCTATGTATATTTTGGACTACTTGGTAGTTCACGCTATCATTAATTAAAACAATACTTAATGTAACCACTGTCAGCTTCCACTGACTATTTCAATAATTAAAGACTACTAGAACATCCTCCTAGGTTGTCATAAATCTTATATACACTGATTTTCCACTACTAATTTTTGCAACAATTTTTTTTTCTGTACAGGTAATTTCAGTTCTATTTACATGTCAATCCTATTAATTTATTTACCTGCTTAATTTATTTAACCACTTCTGCATCAGGCTTGGAACAAGTCCTACACCTATACATGTCTTCTGATCTATGATGCCTGCTGTCTCGCAAAACTGAATTTATTTCTTGTTGTGAAATACACTTCCAAATATACTGCTGGAACAGGTTACCTTTTTGAAGAGCAGCTGGACAACATGAAACCACACACCACTAGTCCCAAAATGATGTTTCTCAGGCTATTTCTATTATCTTCACCATTCAATATTAACCCTTTCCCACACATACCAGCCTAGAGCTGTAATAAACAGTGTATCATCTGACATGACGCTGGTTTCCCAACTGTAAAAAGTCTCAATCATATGTTCTTAGGCACTAGTGCATTTTATTTTGCTTATCAATCTACATGTAAAGTTTGCAAACATTACTATTATGATCTTTTTAAAACTCTTAATGGTCCCAACTGTAAAGCTTTGCAAGTAAGCATTCCCCTAGCTATATCCCTGAACCTGCGTTGTGCAAAGGCAGTCTGTACGCTCCAACCATGTAAGAAACCACCCCAATCCCCTTTGTTGCTGCCCATTAAGATCCAAGTTGAAACACAGTTGAGTTGCAGCTGGATAAAATTAGCAGTTTTCTCAAGATTATGTAAGAAGAGATGGTTCTGACCTCCACTTCCTTCTTTGAAGTTTCTTGCTGCATCAAATTCTGCCTCCTCACCTGCCCTTCTCCCCACGACAGAATCCAGGTAGATCATCTAATGCGACATACTTTAATTTACTGGTATGCTACCTACTGTGTTCTTTCAGCTTGTGTCTGATAATCAACGCTTCCAAAACAATGTTTTGAAGAACTATTGTTTAGGACATTTGCCTTTAGTTTTTAAAATCCTATTATGCTATTTCTTTTTCTTCCAGACATCATTTCCCAGGTTTGATGTTAATGTTTTGAATTGGCTACAACTTTCTTCACCTAAAGAAAATTCTTCTCAAGAGAAGCTATTCTGAAATCCCTGTAATGTCTGTACATCGCTTGTTTGAAGTTTTAACTCAAATTGGGAAGTTGATGTACCACTATTATCTCAGCCATTCCTAACAAGTACATTAGTTATTCCTAACATAATTCTTTTTTGCGCTTGTAGAACTTGCCTGCCTTTCTTTACAGGGTGTTTTTTTTTTTTTATCTGTCCCCTCCAGTCTGACTTCTCTCAGTTACCAACCTTGCTCCCTTTTAAGGTAGAACATGTTAGCTTCAAACCAGTCATCTACATGCTTTTTCTTTTCATGCTGCATTCTATTCTGTCTGCCTGCAGCTGTTCCTTATCTAGTGAGCCACAAGCAGAGGGAAGAAACCCCTTGATAACTTTTAAGAGTACCACTGCTTATACTTGCTGGAGATGAGCAAAGGGAGGCACACACCTCCCTCTACACCTTCAACTATAGCACTTCTCTTGCTGACACCACCTCCTACTACAACCTCAGTGTGTGCAGGAAAAGCACAGCTCCAAGAATCAGAGAGGGGCAGATCTCAGTCTGATTTTTCAGTTCACTGAAGGTAAGAAAACAGTCTGCTTTATTGTTGCATTAGTTGTGTACAAATCAAGCCATTATCATTGTTCAACTGGAAGGCAGAAGGCAAGCCAACCATGGGATTCTGTTGTTTCCAGCAAAAGAGGAAAAACTGTTTTACTGTATCAAGTTCAGGAGATGAGAAGAAAGGGAAATGGCTCTTGGGCTGCAGCTCCCTCACTGACAGTGGTGGGCTGCTGGAAAAGTCACTCTCTCAACTCAACTTTTCTCTGCTTCTTGATGAATGGAGTGAGAGAGTAAACAAGTGTGTGTTTGTCTACTCATATATACACACGTATAGACACACAGCATGGTGTTCAATGGGCAAGTTCAGGGTAGAAAACACACACCATTCTTTCCATTCTATATTAGTGCCAACAACCTCTTGCATGTGCATTGTACGGATATTAATTTTTTTAGTGTGACAGAAGAGTTTAGCTTAATTATTTTTTAATTTCTAAGAACTGAGGTCTAAGTTCGGAGTAAAGTTTTTAAGAAAAACCCCCTAACATTTTCAATTTACTTAGCGGCAGCACTTGATTTCATAAACATTGCTTAGTTTTTTTAAAAAAACGTAATGCAGAACAGAAAGCTAATTTTAATTTTTTACAACCTTGATAGGTGGAATTTTCAGAAGCAATTTTATCAGAACTTGTATTCCCAAGATACTGTAAAAATTTTAATTACCCTTGATCTTACTAAACTTTTGCTCTCCTGCCCTCTAGTGCTCACATTTATTTAAATCATCTACGCAAGTCTGGTTTGGAAACTACCATGTAAGTGGTCCTACCAAAACAAAGTACTCACTGCACTACATGTGATCTAAGCAGTACTTTTGTTGTTGCTCACGTATGTATCATACTGCTACCTGTGTAGTTATCTGTAAGGCTACTTTTCATTTTACAAAACCAACGTAAGGCAGCTTTCTTTTTAAGTTTTGGACCATATAATAGAGTTTTAAATGCATAAATTAAAGCTTATTTCTGGATTTATTAAAACGCTTTCACTAATAGCTAAAGTTGTTAGTTTTTCATCCACATTTAAAGCTTTTTTAGTCAATGCAATTAATTTTGCATCTAATGATGTAGCTTGTTATAGTATTGTGCATGCTTCCATTTAAAACAATGGGTTGACATACTACATCCTTAATTACTCCCATACTACCAGAAAACCAGTGAATTAAATTTATTTAGTGTTAAATGGATATGGAATGTCATACAGTACATGTAAAGACACTTCAATATGAGTAAAGCAGAACTAATTGCACAAGAGATTAAAGGTTCACCTCAATAGTCAGTATTATCAAATCATTACAGCTTCCATCTTCAGAGTGCAAGGTATGTCATGCAAAAAAACAGCTCAAAAAATCCCCAGACAAAACCAACATTGTGGTATCACTTAAAATGCTATCATACCACAATATTTTACAAGACATTAAGCGATCATTCATAGAGACTGAAGCATTTTAGCAATAACAAAAAAGTTTTAAACATACTTAACAGATTTTGCATGAACACCAATTCCAGCATTACTATACCTAAGGAACAGGCAACATGCTGGGAGAAAGTACCTAAAAATCAAAGCCTTTTTTATTCATAGCCAATATGACCTTCTGCAAGTTATTATTCAGATTCCCCACATAACCGGGTAAGGTTCAATACATTTTTACATAGAGCATAATCACATAACCACCACATCAGCAAGACGATTTCATTATCTTGACCAGTTACTACATTTAAAACCATGGTATGATAACATGCCCTGCAAACAAATTGTCTTCTGGGATAGTGTCTTGCATGTAAATATGAAACAACTAAAATATACTCTTAACCACTTTAACCCCAAATGTATTATAATTTGTATTTACATATTTTTGAAATATGTAGGTAAAAACTGCAGATGGAAGAGAAGCAGAATACACAAGAGAGCTATGACAGGGCTGACCAAACTAATCGTCGCATTCAGTAACCCCGAATGAGTCTTGAGAAGGGGGCTGTATCTTTTGCACTCTTCCTCCATCCAAGCAGTCTTACCAGGGCTACCAAAGGCCCTGGTAACCAACCAAACACTGCTGCAAGAGCTGCTCATCCCACTTACACACTCTTTGTCCAGCCGGCCGAGCACATGGAGCAGAACCTTGCACCCCGACCAGTTCCACTCAGCCAAAAGCACTGCAGATAAACACACTTCTACACACCTGCTTCAACTACAGCTTGAATGTTAACATGGAAGAAACACAGGAGATGACAAGATGGTTTTTAACATTTCCACCTCACAATACTCATATCCTTAGGGCACCAACAGGTAGATTAATTTACTAAAATAAGCATACAAAAAAGGCCAAGTTGTATGCCCTCATATTAGGAATAAACTATTTAACTTCCTGGCTTAAATGTAAGCAAGAGGAACTCAAGAAAGACCTCCTTGAGGTTAATTTTCCAACTACATTCAAAGAAAATAATTTACTAAAACTGTAACTTGCAAGGTCTACTAGCCTTGAAGTGAGGATACAGGTTAACTATACCTATAGTTAAATAAAAAACTTCAGAAGACATTTTATAGAAATAAAATATGCAACTCTAGGAAGTAGCTGGAAAAACACTTTTGTATTCAGCTGGAACATTCTGTTTTCATAGACCATCATTCTCAGGAATATGTTTTTCATAAATTAAAATACAGCACAAAAATTTGTGTATTCAATCTAAAGTTGCATATTTCTAAACCTCTTCAGATAAAATTTGCTTTCTCCCTCAGAAATAAGTGATAAACCCTGAAAAAAATTGCTTTTCAAATTAATCGTGCATGAGGAAACACAGATGAACAAACCAATATCTGGAAAAAACATTTTGTACAAGGTTGCAGTTCTAAAACACTTATATTACAAAGCAATGTAAATAGTACAAAAGCTCTTATTTACAGTTTTACAAATGAAAACGTTTTCAGTGTAAATGCAGTGTTTTAAAGAACACAATATTAGTAAAATGCATTCCTGTATAGAGCATTACAAGTTCTACTAAATTTCAATGCAGTTTTGTATAAAACCATTGTTTCAAGTTAACTTTTGTTTATAATTTAGTACAGCCAAACCCCAGTTTATGCCTGGAATGGTATCTGTTAAAGTGCTGAAAAAGAGGACATTTCTGAAATTTTAGAAAACATACTGTACATTATTAAAGCTTTATCAAGTCAAAAATGGCATATTTTGTTCACATTTGCTACCACACCACCTGTGGATGAAAGTTTTTCAACAACTTATAATTAACAGGATGGCAGCCATTGGTATCTTCATATCCAAAGTCTGATGGTTTTCCACAAGTAATTTGTCTTAAGCTTCAGTGGTGGTTTCAGGTTTCATAATCTGGTAAGTGATCAAGTATTCTGGATAAGCCTGAAAAAGCAACACAGACATTCTTTATTACAATTTCATTTCATTTACTGGATAAATTCAAAGTGTTTGCTAGAGAGGGGAAAAAAAGGTATTTATGCCACAGAAAATAAGGCAAAATGTCAAAGGTAAAATGCCTGGAGCATTCAGGAAACTAACCCTTTTACCTGCAACCACAGCTAGAGTTTGAGACAAAAGCAAGTCCTAGCAGCTCAAAAGAAAGAAAAACCCCAAACCTACCAACCCCCCCCAAAACTAAACCCCAACACATTCCATGCTTTAAAAAATAATATTTGAAAAATCAGATGTTATTTACCTGCTCCCCTCTGTAAATGACATATTCTGCCAATGCCAATCCATTTACACTGGGTCTTCCAGTAACCGAGTGATGTCCTGGGGGAGAATGAGCCATTTTCATAGCACTGAACTGCAGGAAAGACTTGCCCAGTGTTACACGACAAAACAGCAATTGCCTGTGTTAAAAGGGAAAAAGGACCATGGACATATATTGTTTGTGAAGCTCCAGAAAGACTATCTTTGGAATTTGAAACATTCACTTGAGGAGAAGAGTAGAACTTTAAAGCCACTTCAGTCACTCTTTGTAATTCACTACCTTTTGTTCTGAAGGACAGAAGTTATGCTCCCTAGTTTTCTGAGGGTGTCTCCTTCCCCCCCCCCCTTAATTCACTTGTTCTAACACTAGATTTGTATCCAACAGTTATCCAATAGTCAAATCAACATCAAGGCCAAGTACACCTGTGTTTTAGTGTGCGAAGCAGCAGTCAGTGAGGCTGACTGTTACAAAGTACACCCACCTCATAGAAACACAGCACCTGAATATCACGGAATTTCTCTTTTCTATGTAACAGGCAATGGACTAAACCCTCATTGCTGCACCTTTCACACAAGCATCTAGCAGATCCTCTTCACTCTCTGGCTACCCAAGTCTGATTTTAACAGCAAGTTATGGGCAAAAGTTAGGTTAAATGCATTGAAGATAGTTAAAGTTTCTTTAAGACTTAAATATCAAAGTTTTCTGAAAGTATTAGGCCTGGCATATAGAGAGTGCTGAGAAGGTTTGGTTTCCAAGCAAATCCTTCTTCACAGACAGAGACTTGCAGACTTGATGGACTATAGCACAATACACAAAAGCAAAATCAGATTATTTCTGAGGACTTACCTGTGGCAAACATAACAAGATCTATCTTTGTGAATTGGACATCCAGTGCCACCTCCAATGCCATACACATATTGATTGCTTTTGGAAGAATTTTCAGCAAAATAAATCCCAGCTCCAAACATGCCACCTATGTAGGCATGCCTCTCATCAAAGCCTTTGTGAATGATGGCATTCACAAATGGGGAGCCTAAGAGAAAGGAAGTAAAATACTGAAAATGTAGTATACAGAGATTTGTATTTTTTTTTGCACATTTTTTCTATACACACAAGGAAATCAATCTCCAGAAGTTTTGACCTCAGATTTACTCAGCCAATTTGCTAAATACAAAGGACAGTAGCTGAGAAGTGTACATTTTTAACAAAGATTTACATAGGATAATATCCAAGACAACCCTTGCTGCAAGAGAAGGCTCTATGAATCTGTACTTGCTTCGATAAGAGTTTCATTCTAACCAAGATTCATTGAATACACTGCTACACAAATCCCTCCTCCTTCCTTACACCAGGATTGCATCTAAAAAAACAATAAATGTAAACCACTACTTATTTGTTTGCAGTGGTGATAAAATTTAGCCTTAATGAATAATCTGTTCAAAATGGTAGTCTTTGCATCTCAGGACACCTGATAATCATTAATTTTCACAAAAAGTGCATTTTTTTAAAGTAAGTATTTTTATCACAGTATATATAAATATGCAAGCACTTTTAGAGAAAAGCTGTTCTAAAAGAGCATGGAATTTAAGAGTTATGTTGGGAATTACAGTGAAAATAATCCAAAACCTTATTGTCCACCCTAAAGATGATAAAACTATATATGAAGCAGAAGAACCTTCCAGATGAGAATAAGAGAAACTCATGACAACTGCTTTTTATCTTCTGCAAATGACATACGTGGTTAAAGACATGTGCTAATGCTTAAAAAAAAAAAAACAACAAAAAAAAACAACAACCACACAAAAAACCCTAAAGTCTTAAAAAAGTAGAACACTCAAAAGACATTAACTGCTTTATTCCAGGGATAATATTGTTATCTGATTACAGACTTTCCTTTAAAAAACAGTTTATTCCATTAGCAGATGGTTTCCTTTCACAGGGGTACAGACCACAGTCAAGAGACAGGATTTAGATATCTATGAGTTTGGGCAAGTAGTTATTGTGTTACTGCCGCTTCCAATGCTGATGTATTACGATGGAATCTATGTAGCTTTCACTTGTAAGCATGTATTGTGAGCTTGCTATGTATTTGTGCACAGCTGAGCTTTCAGTTGGCTTTAATTTGCTAATTACCTTTCTGGAATGATGAACAAGAACTTATCAAGTTATAAAAACAAGAAAACAAAAAAATCCTATCCCAAACCAAATCATAGCATAATAAACTTTCACCCTTAACCACTTTGTTCATTCTGATAAAGCAGAATCAGTAACTCAGCCAAGGAGGAGGCACACTCCTGATTCTCCATTCATTAACCACTGTGTTTTCATTTAGACCTTTGAAGTCTCCTTTGGGAAGAGATAAGTAGATGCAAATTTCAGCAGAATGATGCATTTTATTTTCCCACACACATTTTATTTTCCCTGGGACACACACACTTGACCATATAAAACTCATGCAAAACCTAGAACCTATTTCAACTGAGAAAATTTGAGACAGGACAAACTCTCCAATAAAGTGTTGATGGTGAAATGAGTTCATAAGGTGCATTCAGTGTCTCACCATGAAAGAGCATCCTTTCATTGGCATGGTTATGATTCTCTTCAGAGACCTCTTTCCTTCTGTGAGTGTATCTTTCCCATAGTTTTTTGTTGCACACTTTCTGAATCTGAAACATCAAAAATGTAAGTTCCATCCTGAAACTGAAAATTTCCATTTACTTTACTTGACAGATGTTTAGCCTATAGCAGCTATGCCACAGTAAACTTACATTGTCACTTAAACAAGAATATCTTCCTTAGAACTCAATGAAACAAATTCTCTAATTTATACTGCAAAAACTGATTGTTGTGGCATAACTTAAGGAAATCCTAATTATATGCTTAATTAAGAATTAATTTAAACCATCTGTTGAGCAATACTTCTTAATTTAGATTTAGCAGGCTTAGTCACAGTTGTACTTGAGTTTTGTTCCAAACATAGCTTGACGCCAAACCATTAGTAAAAAGATCATCTAGTAAATAAAGAAGTGTCTTCTTTGAAGACTTCTAGAATACTTCAAAAAGAAAGTAAATTCTGCAGCAGAGGTATGCTGGATACTGGCAAAGCCTTGTTTGTAGATGCAGCGTATCAGTTTTACCAGGAAAACTGTAACATCAGTTCAGATTAAAACTTTGTAGTACTTGCAAATCAAAATCTATCATTTTAATGAAAATTACCATTTATTTAGAGGAAAAAAGAATATAAACCAAAATTTCACTAAATTATTTAATGCAAGGTTGTCTGCTACCTGGTGTTTTAAACTTCCCTGGTGCTAAATCAAGCCGAAATAGGTAACCTTACTTCCATACTTCAAGAGCTTTGCTTTCACTTCTTGCTGTTTTTTCCCCCGATACTCCCTCAACAGAAACCTTGTCTTTTTTTTTTCCAAACATTCTGCAGTTTTCTGTGAGGTCCTTCTATGTCAATTTCTGATAATATTTCCTAATGCCTATTAATTCATAAGCAGTTTTTCTATATACTCTTACTCTTTGAATTTGCCTGGAAGATACTTTTCCTGTGCTTGTCTCAGAACAGCACATCTTACTACATTACGGAACTCAAAAAAAAAATTAAGAACATTTTATGGGCATTTTATTTTCAGCCAAAACTCTAAGGGTGTAACCACTGACCATAAAGATGTACCAGCTACCTTTAAGATGTTGTATCTGTTGAAGACCCCGCCAGCATGTCCTCCATCCCTATGCTCTCGGACAGTACTCTGCATCTGAAGATTGAGAATTTTAAGTAGGATCAATTTGCTTCAGAGCACATTCAAAACATACATCCTTCACCCAATCAAATAACCAACAGATTTTTTTTCTTAAAAAAATAATCATACAAGAACGTTTTAGGCAATGCCTCTGTATTAAGTAATGCCAGATTTCGTGGATGCACAGGAACAGGTTTAAGAAACATATCTTGAAGAGTCTACGGTCTATAGTTTGCAAACTGAAAAAGATTGACACTATTCTATTTAGAATATTGTTTCTTCAGAATTTTGTCCTTTGCGATGATGACACTCTGGAAGGAAATGACTTAAAACTGTGTACAAGAAATAGGAGCACAGATTATAAGCAGTGCAGTCAAAGCTGGAAATTTGAAGTATCCTTACGCAAATTTTTCTTAGTCTTAGCAATGTTCATTGCATTGTTAAGTTGTCTAGTGATACTCCTTTATCTACTTGAATAGAAATAACAACAATAGGGAAAGGCTACAAAGAAAGGCATACCTCCTCTTCTACTGATTGAAATTCCTTGTCTTCAGTGGAAAGATCTATAAGAATAGTTCCGCTACCAGAAGTATTTAGAGTCAGGTATGGGTTTAGTCCTGCGAATGTAACAAAACATTACAACAGTTTCAGAAACTGCTTGAAGCCTGCTGATTTTGAATGATATCAGTAAGAAATCTTTCTTTTTAAATGGACCATTTTCTCAAAACTCAGTTTACAAAATGAAGAGGTTAGCTGCTAAGGAAGGCAGAGATTATCAATGACTTTAATTGCTTTCCATCAGCTCTGTACATTTATGTGAATGTCAAAAGGTGATCACCCAATTTCATTAGTTTCAAGCAAACTTTTTCATCATCTCTGTTTATAGCCATAATGATGCATACACTATAAATGTAATGAGAAGTACGGCACAGCAGCTGGGTCTGGATGCAGATCAACTGCAATCATTTTCATTGATCTGTGGATACAGATCAATCATTGTTTCAGTAAGAAACACTAACCCATTTATCTATGCTTACCTCACTATATTAAGATACATGACAGGGAAACTGTATGTAAGCAGTTGCTTACTTAAGAGTTTATTTCAACTCTAGGCAGTGAAATAGCGAGCAACCTGTCCTGTATCCATATCTACTGATGGCAGTTGTATCATGAACAACAGAACTGACTTCAAGTGCTAATTCAGTAGGAATATTTTTTCCAATGTATTGTGCAGAAAAGAGCTGACAAAAGAACTAAGATAGTCTGTGAACATAAAAGGCCTAAGCCTGATATTAAATGCTTAAATGAAATTTCTCTGTCATTCCAAATATGCCCAAACAAACAAAAAAGACATTTTATGTGGAATCCATTGTCAATTTGTGTACAGACTTCAATCACAACTGGCAAGTAATGGAAATGTAATTTCTGCATATCAGAATACAAAGACAGTGTGCATCATGTCCTTTTGCCCACGGCCTTTGCAGACAACCAGCAGGTGACCAGAGTTAGATAATCTCTCTAGAAAGCAGTAATGTGTGGAAAAGGGAAATTACAGATTCATACAAAGTCAGAAGCCTCATGGTAGCAGCGTGGAACTGGAATAATGTGCTCAGGAACAAAAAACTGGCAAGAAGGAACCAAAAAAAACACGCTCTTTCAGAAAAGCCCTACTAACCTTGAAATAATAGCAGTAACTGTGCTCAGGAAGAGATGCCAAAATATTAATGAAAACATACCTGAGTGCAAGAGCCCAAGGGCAACATACAGAAAACTGACAGAACAACCTAACGGCAACAATCCTCCCCACCCCAGAAACACACCCTAGAAAATAAATCAAGGGCTGTTGAAATACTCAGTTTAAGTATTTATGCCTGCGGTTAAGTTACAAATGAAAATGCCAGGCCTCTTACAGCTAGACAGCAAGAGTCTAGAAAGAATGGGGGTGGAAGTAGTGAAAAATTTAGAAGTTTGACGTTGTCTATATTCAAACATACTAAAATATGTACAAACATACACATGCTCAAAAATATATCATGTCTACTTGGAAGGCAAAACCAGCACAATTACCAGTTCAGTAAACTTAGAACTCAGACAATGAAATGATACCTTGAAAGTAACTTCAATCCAAAATACCAATGCATCTGTCAAAAATCATTTGACAATTAAGACAAAATTACAAAGATTTGCTTAAATACTTCATTACTAGGAAAAGGATTATCTCAAGGCTTGGTTAATACTGTTTAAGGAGGAAAAATTTCGAGCTTGGGACAGTGACTCACTATGGTGTGCAGATTTTAGAACGAGAATTCACAAATGGTGTCTCAAGAGGGGAAAAATATCCTCTGAATTCTAACTTATTTATTCAATTTCTATGCAACACAAGAAAACAATAGTAAGTGATGTTTCAGTGAGACAAGGAAGAAAAAAAGGTTTGTCTTGTATGCAGCCAGACTGCTCTGATAAATGATCACAAAGCCGCGGTGGGTGGGTAAGAGGGAACTAAAAGGCAAGATTCACAGCACAAGTAAAAGTGCTCATGTTTCAAGTCAGGAGACATCATCTGAAGTTCCATTTAACCTACAGCATTTACAGAAATGGATTCTTTAAAGGCTTTAAGATGTTACACAGCAATTTGAAACAGCTACATACCTTGTTGTCCAGAAATGAGTCTTTCAACTCCTTTAATGATTTTATGCCTATGGCCATAAGCATTAATTCCAATTTCCTTCAATTCTTTGTGTCCCATTTCAACCAGTACATCCAGTGTTATCTATAATGAAAGCAACACGATTTTTTTGTGCAACACAATAAACAGACTAGAACAGCTGTGAATGATAGTGAAAATACTTCACTGTAGTTGAGACAAAAAGCAAGTGTGAAAAGAACAAAAACATTGGAAACTTGACTTTTTACTGTTTTCTCCAAACTTTTCTTTAACTAAATATTCTGCATGCTACATTTATGTAATTCATACTGTTTGCAAGGATCACGTTTCCGATTGAGAAATACAATTTTTAGATGTATTCAAGCCAATAGAAACAAACCCAGAAATGACTAAGCAACACTGACTACTTGTTTACTCTATCATTTATACCATTGAAAGGAAACTTGCCTACACTCTAAAACTGATATAGAGATTATTGCTCCCAGTTTTTTTACATATACAGGTATTTTAATCTCTGTTTATACTGGATATCAATTTAAAAACTCCACTTGCACTCCTTTCCCTCATTCCACTCATTTTGACATTCATTTTAAAACTGTCTCATGATTTTATTTTAAACAGTCAGTATTTATTCCACTGCTTTCTAGCTGAGTATTTGGAAATAAACATAGCTACGTACCTGTTCTCTCTCAAATATGTCAATTAGATGTTCAAGGCCAAGGTTCCGCACAAACTGATTTATGCTGAAATCCACACCTGAAACTGCGTAAGAAGAAAAACTCACAATGAACATTCATACACCTATTGTAAAATAAATAACAAGCACCTCACTGTCTGTGGCAACGAGACATACAAAATTCCTGGTCTTTTGCAGATGGTACCTAACTAACCAGTGCCAACTACTACCTAATCTACCCCAACACTCTAAAATTTCTACCCCTGCTCCAACAGCAGTCTTTGTGCTTCCACAAAGTAAGCAACTAATGTGCAGAAACACACGTGCAAACAGCAAATATTTTCAGACATAAAACATTACAGAAGTAAGCTTTTTAAGATACCTGATCCAAGAACAGGCTCCTGGAAACTAGATAAAGTTTGTAGTAAAATACTGGTTGGTATGGAGCCAAGGTTCACTTGATGTCTTTTTTAAAAGATATTTTGGTTTTGTACAGCAAAAAAAAAAAAAAAAGTTTTAAAGATTCTATAATGGGAAAGTACTGAAATCGTATACAAGACTTTCATTCATTGTTAATGAGACATCACAAGGAATCCGGATACTGTATGCATGTGTTGGAACTTGTGTATTCTTTTTACCACACAGTAGAAAACATTATTCATTCCTGAGAAAGCCTCACCTTCTTTCTTCTCCAGAACAGTACCTCCTTCTGTGCTGCTTGTAGCAACAACAGAAGGAAGTTCAGAAAAACTACCAGACAAGTTGTCGAGACTACTTGCAGCAGACAGACTGGATGGACTGGATGGAACAGAAGACAGGGAATCAGCTGCAGAACCTGTAGTCTGAGACACACTTATAACCTGAGGTTTGTAGCAAGTCGGTAAGGCAGAAGGAGGCATTGCCGCTGTCAATAATGCACTGACATCATCTGCCTAAATAACAGAAAGCAACTTATTAAAACAGAGGAACACTTTCATATAGTGCTTTTTTTCGAGAATGCATTATCATTATTCCAGACTTCTTTACAAATGGCCTTTTGTGCCAACAGCATACATGAAACTGTAAAATGCTTATAAGTAAAAACTGTAATAAGATAGAAAGTAGAGACTTCAATATTTCTAAAAACCTTCAGGGATATTTAAACAGAATTCATTTGCTAGGAAAACCAAGCAAAAGCTTCCAATGGCAACCAGAATTTACAAACCAGAACGGTTACTCTGAGTGCGGCTTGGAATTGTACTGTAACACTTAGGAAAAAAAATAATCCAAAAACTTAACAGCAGATAGCTTCTTAAAGTTATGTTGCTACAAAGTTTGCATACAATGTATCACCACAACTTTTGTTGTAGTCAAAATATAAACACATAATTAAAAGCATCAAATTATAAGCAAGCATGAATTCCTTTTGTGGGTGTGTGGGCTTTGTCTGTTTGTGCCATCCCTCCGCCCAATCTTGAAATACGAAGTCTAGCGCAAGAAAATATTTCAGGCAGGTTTATAAAGGCTCTCCTGACTTTCCTTACCAGATACACATAACACACCAGAGAAACTGCAGTATTTAAGATTTTACAGAAGTTGATGTATTACATTTTTTTAGGACAGTTTTTGTATGAGCTGCCCCAAATGGCAGACAAGTACAGATTTCCCAAGAAGAACCCCATCACTTACAGTGACCAGGTCCAATGGCGTTTGTCCTTCCTGATTTTTCAGAGTAGGATCAGCCCCATGTGCCAGTAACAAGGCACAAAGCTGTGTCCTTCCTTTTTGGGCTGCTTCATGCAGAGGTGTGAAAGCCCATTTGTCCGTAGCATTCACACATGCATTATACTTTATAAGTAAAGCTGCTACATCAACATGCTGGAAAATAAGAACATCTGTTAAATCCCAAGGTACCACAGTGTATTAAAGTAATGCAGAACTATTACTGATACTTCTCTGTAATCCTCATTCTGAATTTTCTTAAAATACATTTACTTTCTCATTATGATTAAAAAAATGTATTAAACAAGGTATTTTCTTCCTCACCAGAAACATACCAGTAAAAAGTTAAGATTTCTTCTCTTGTGAAAAAAGGACAGACTACAACAGAATCCCAAATCCAGGGGAATCTGAAGGAAAAAAGCATGAATTTGAACTTCTAGTTTGGAAAGTACTCCTAACTGTTTTGAATAAAAACTTATCTGAACACAAAGATCCAGGAAGTACAGAAAACCAGTTAGTGTCTCAACACCAGCCAAGTAAGTGAAAATGAGATCTTGCTGATAAAATTTGACTACCACAGGTAAGAAAATGCATTTTATGGAACACCTTCCAGACTGCTGGCTTTCTAAGTGTTTATGTTCAGATAACTTAATTCCGTAAACTCCAACCATAATTTTACAAATTCAGAAGAGTCTTCACCTTTACAATCAGCTGCCTATAATCAAATTTTTTTTTATGTGTTTTACAAGTAGGATTACATTACAACTCAATGGCAAAAGCCTTCTAGAAAGCATTGGCTCACAATGCTGTCACTGAAATGTATCACCTCAGTTATTTATTTAAAAATTAATAAAGCCTCAGAAAGTTTGAAATATTTACCCCATAAGATGCAGCATTATGCAGAGGAATCAAACCTCCTTTATCCTGTGCATTCACATCTGCTCCATGCTGTAACAGGTATTCCGCAACCTCCAAATTGTTGTAACCAGCTGGAAGGTTGCAAAAGCCAGAATAAGTAGACATATTAAAAAAAAAACATCCTCAACAGGCTATAGAGAAGTATCAGCTCACTTAAATTACTTGAAAGTTAAGATGTCAACAGCAGTGAAGACAGTGTATTTATTACCTATCAGTAAGGACAGTTTCACCCTATTTTAACAGGATTTGGGTTTAAAACCTCTGCTAGTTAACGATAAAAGGTCCTCTTGGCTAGAGATAATAGGAAATTGAAGTCATTAAGTAGTTTAGAAGAGCAATATAAGATTAACTCTTAAAGAGAAAATAAAGAATCCTCTAGCTTGAGGCTACACTCCAACTTAGACACAGAAAGTTCAGACTTGATCAGTAACTCTGATCAAACCACTTAATTAAAACACTGACCTGCTAAATGTAGTGGTGTTGAATGCCGTCCTTGTGTGTCCCGACAGTTGACATTGTCAGGTGAACACAGCTTTTTCACTCGGGCCAAGCAACCTTTCTTGGCAGCATCTAGTAGAGCTGCATCTCCTCTAAGTAGGTCTTGAATATCAGTATCACCATCTTTAACAAGGTCTAGTGGAGTATTTCCATCTCTGTTTTTCTTTGTAGGGTCAGCTCCATGCTATGCACATCAAAAACAGGTGGTAAGTATATAAGTAGAATAAACATGTTGCATCTTAGGTATCCTATGCATCATTGACCAGATATTCTGACACATATTCAGATCTTCCATAGAGCCTTCCATTTACTGTATGAAAAAGGACAATGTAGTTGCTTATAGTATCCCTTTTACTGAAAACACACATTTAGCTCAATTTATAAACCATAAAATACAAGTCAATTTCTCAAGAAGTCCAATCACATTTCAGATTGAACAAGAAAGAGAAGAAAGTAACCTCTCTCCAACATATGTAATACCTGTAACAGGAGTTTGCAAATCTCGTATTTTCCTTTTGCTGCAGCTTCATGCAAGGGAGTGAATTTCCACAAATCAGCTACATTGACAACTGCACCATGTTTAACCAGCAGTTCTGCAACTTCATAGTGACCATATGAGCAAGCATTATGTAAAGGGACAAGTCCTCTGGAAGCAATTAAAAAAAAGGCAGAAATTATCTTAAAATTGGGTCTTTTTTCACAAAGTGATACAAACTTAAAATACACCTTCAGCAATCAAACCGTAACAATTTGTTTGTTTTTTTTTTTTTTTCACAATAGTCTAATACAGTAGGAGTATCTACTGCCAAAGTAGTAAGAAAGCGACCATCACTGGCACTGAAGAGATATAAAAACACAGGGCTAGAGAAATTCTTGTCGCCCTAGTCTCAAGTACTGACAAATGCTTTCATGGATGCTCTGAACATCTAACAGAACTTTACATGAAAATAAAAAAAGTTGAAAGATAGGATGTTTACCAGCTAGCAACATTCAAGAGCCAAAAAGTTATCAGCAATTACAGTTGCAAGAAAATACACATTTGAGTATCTACCCCTTATCTTTCGCATGCACATCAGCTCCATGCTGAAGAAGATATTCGACAACGGATACTCTATTATACCCAGCTGCAAAATGAAGTGGTGTAGACTGACGTCCTTCAATATCTCTGCAGTTCACGCTTTGAACTGTACATAGTTTCTGTGAAATGACCAAAACAAAAGATACATCACTATATCTAGTGTTGTCACATCTTAATTTAGTCATGTTATACACATTTAATTTTTAAAAATTGTTTACATTAGGAAGTTTATTTCTTAATTTTTTTTTGCATAAAATGATTACTAATCATAGATTGTGTGCAAAGAGAAAAAATTCCCTCCTCCCAAATTTACATGATTTCTATACAGACAAACTTTTGGACATAGCGAATATTACATTTTGTCATCTGTAGTATCTGTGCAATACAAAGATTTTAGAACAGGGATCACAATTCTAAAGCAGTCAATGAAGGGCTTGTGAAATTATAGTTTGGGATATAATTCCCTCTTGTTCTTAGGACAGGTTTAAGCTTACTTTTACAGTATCCACATCTCCAGCCTTTGCGGCCTCCAGCAACTGTCGATCTGCATCAGAATTTCCTAATGGGATACCTTCTGCAAAATAAATGAGATTCCAAGAAAGGTAAGTGTATGCAGTTGAAGGAATTTGTTAAGACAGGAAATCATTTGAGTATTTCAATTATTTCCCTTTTAAAAAAAAACGTTAACCAATTATAGACAGGTTTTGTCTTTTCTTACTATCTACAACTGCAGATATTATCTCTAACATGGCTTTGAAAGTTGCCTTTAGCAACATGCTTCCTATCCATTTTGAAGTCCTGTGGAACCAAACAAACCTTCTTATTTCAATTTCGGAATTAGACTGTATCAAGAAGCTTACCTATGTGTATAACATCCAAACGTTACTCTTGAAAATCCAGGTACCCCTCATATGCTCACAAATACAAAGCAGCTATTTTTTGCTTCTGAAACTAATTTTCTACATAAAAGATTCCCCCCTCCCTATGTCCGGATTTTTCTATAATTATTCCAGGTGGCTATGAAACCATGAAATCAGTCTGCGCACCTCTAACAATCTGTGGAACTGAATCCCAGAGAGCATATGATATTTCAACTACACATAGAGTAGGCAGTCTCCCTGTAAACCTGGTTACTGAATTGCACAAACCAGTACTGCCTTTTGTAGAAAGCCTAGAAAGCCTTTTTTTTTTTCTTGACTTTTATTTACTATTATTTCTTGACAGCACTTGAAATGGCAAGTAAAACAAAGCACCACATTACTTCAGAAGTAGATCTTGACTAAAACAGTTATACCTTGTAGTAGCTGTTGCACACTTTCAGTCCCCATTTGCAAGGCTGTAAAGCCCTGCAGAGACACAATGGAAGGATCACATCCAGAACTCAATAGCAACTTGCATGTCTGAAGATGACCACAATGTGCTGCTCTATGAAGAGAGGTCTGGCCAAGGTTATCTAATGCATTAACCTAAAAATAACAGACAAGAAATACCACCATTGAAACTTAAAGGTATTTGCATTGCTGACTGGGAGCATTTCACAAGTATTCTTCTGACTTTAATCAAAATAACATATGAAGCACATTTCCAAAGGGCATGACATTTTAAGAAATAAAATCTAAAAAAAACCAGCAGTTCATAAATTTTAACTGCATTTACTGAGGAAGAATAAGCCTCCCTTTAGAGGCATGTGGATAATCCAGCAGAAACAATTACAGAATTTAACTGCATACAGAAGTTATTATTTTACTGCCATTATTCTACTCATGGCAGCACAAAACCTCAGTGCTAACACTGTAAAGCTTTTACATGCATTGGCTTATTGTGTTTTTTCAGACTGAGAACTTTTTGTGCATTTCAGTCAAGGTGTACTTAACAGTTTAAAACTCTGCACCCAAAGGTTACTTGCATTCCCTACTGTTTCTCTGGTTTGATCTTGGAAACTTCACTGCAGTCAGGCTGTAATCAAATTCCTGTGACAGAATCAGTTCCAGTCCTGGAGGACTCAAGCATTAGATAGTGCCTCCTTTCCATTTTCTCTTTTTGTGGAAATTTAAACTAAACATTGTGTTATGATTTAATATTTGCCTTCATTGTAGTTTTTACTGCACACAACATCACATGAAGTCTACCTGTTACACAGGTTTGTCTAGCTTCTTGTTGTTAATATATATATCCCCTACTTTTTTTTTCCTTAAGCATTTCACTATTACTGAATCACTGAATAAACACTGAATCAGACACTCTATAAGATTCCAGTTAACAGTGAGGACTACATCCACACTTCTTATAAGACCAAACCAACAAGATGCCTCAATGTATAGGGTTCCAATGTAAAGGGTACCATTCTCATGGTATGAAAACCTACGTAGTAGGCAAACCTCAAAAAAAAGAAGTATGAACAGTAACTCATACCTTAGCTTCATGTTTCACAACTACTTCAACAACATCATTATGAGCCTTTTCTGATGCCACATGCAAAGGAGTCAAGAAGCTTTTTCAAAAAAAAAAAAAAAAGAAAAGAATAACTCAACATGTATTTTGCAAAATCTTCTAAACAAGAAGTTTAGAGTAATAATTTGGAACCACTCACTCTTTCGTTTTTTCATTGATGTTAGCTCCTTTCCTCAGTAGCAATTCACATACTTGTTTTCTCTTGGGATATGGAGATGCAGCAGCACAGTGCTGAGAACATTAAAAAGTATAGCATTACAGCTGGCTAGCAATATACAGGTTTTACTGCTTGCTGATCAGCTGACAGTTAAGAGCTGGTTATATGCAGAGTCAACAGCAAAAAAAAAACCAATAAAACAAAACATGCAGAAGCTTATTAATTTGGGAGATTCCACACAGGCTTTTGTATTTACACTGGTATTTTCCAGAGCTCCCTCTCCAATAACTGCTAGAACCCTTCATACTTTACAAAGCTCACATACGTAGCTTGCTGTTGCTTAAAACTAGACTACAGAAAACCAGTCATTTAGACAAATTAAACAGGCAATTTAGTCTTAACATTAACAGCAAAATATTAATATTGCTTAACTAGACACTGGATATTCGAGGTTGGTTTGAATTACACTGTCTGACACTGAAATTTTCAGTTCTGAACTATTACCAAGTAAGTTTAGGTCAGCCACAACATATGCAAAATAATTAATAAATCCTGAAATATTACCAATGCCGTCTCATGTGTTTGAGGATGTTTGAAGTTCACTGTCTCCAAAGAAAGATGTTTCTTTATACGAGCTACATCTGATTCTCTTGCAGCCTGTAGCAGTGAGTGACCTTTGAATTCATCTTTAAAAAGAAATAGATACATACCAGCAGGTTATACTCAACTTGAGAAGCATCAAGAAGAATGTTTCTTTCACTTAGATAAAAATCATTTTATTCAGCAGACCACAGTGCAGACATTTCCAACTCAGACTTAACCTTTTATATCACTTGACAGAACTTGTTAGCTAACTTGAAACACTAAATGAATATACTTTGTTTCTACACTAAAGCCAGAGACATCCACGCTGGCTGAACAAGAACTATTTTACTTGCCACTGTTCTAGTTTCTACTCTTCACGTACATACCAATTCTAGCATATATAAAACTCTACTCCTGACCTGCCCTTGACAAACCATTTCTAGATGCTAACATGAAGTCTAACGTAGTATTTACTGATAATTTTTGTACATACCCCAGAAGTTATTGTTTGGCCACTCAAGGACAGGATTTGAGGGCATTCTTTCCAACTCCTTAAGTATGCTGGACAACAGGCAATGTCTTTTATCAATTTCTCTGAACTTCCAGCAATTGTGGCACATTCAAACATATTGAGCATTCTAAAGAGTTATGCTTTTTCTTTTCTTCAAACAAAACAGTGGAATAAAAACAAATATTTCAAGTCTTGATGCAATGAAAGGACCAAGTATGGCAAATGAAAGTGTACTGGCAAGGTCGTTCAGGGAAGAAAAGTTACAAACCCCACCATAACCACATGACTATAAAACTGACCATAAAATTATTTTAAATGCCTACATTCAAAAAACATAGCAATCATAAATTTTAAACAATGTAATGTACTGTCCAACATTGCACAATTGCTTGGAAAGTGTAAGCATTTTCTATAATCTGATTTCTGGCAGGTCACTTGTCTAGGGAACCTAAGTACACATTACAGTCAATAACTGATCTCACTTTATACTCACATGCTAATCGTTCTTTTAATTGGGGTGTTGGAGCCAAATCAATGGTGCTTTTGTTGTGACAGTTCAACAGTGTTGGGTCAGCACCATAACTTAACAAAAGAGAGCATACTTCCACCCTGTTCTTAGAAGCTGCTTCATGCAGAGGGGTGAATTGCCACAGATCCATTGCATTCACACATGCTCCATGCTTGAAAGGGGTAAAAAAGGTGCAATATCAAAACCATATAATTAGAAAGACTTCTATCATTAATTTCAATGCAGTAGATTGTTATAATAAAAATCAATGCTTCTATGCAAACTGTATCCAAGACATTCTCCAGACACTAATTTCCAACATAACAAATTTCAGCACATTGCAGTTGCTAATCTTCTGGTGTCTCACATGTACATTCAAAGAATTCAAAGGCAGGGTAGTCTCTTCAGGCTTTCTCCAGAATTTCAAAGAGTAGCTCTGCTACAGGTCTGTTAATTGAAGAGCCTAATTCATATACTCTAAACCACCTTTCAAGAAGCTCCAGAAAAAGTCTAAGTTGCACTAAAATACATTCATGTTCTGTGAATAGTCCCCAAGATAAGAATGCCAAGGTATCTAGAAGGTTATAGGTACTCAAAGTTGACTTCAACAGTCTGACAGAACATGCTCTTTCCCATTGTTCCAGTTAAAACCTTAGTGCTTTGCAAAAAATAATTCAAGATTCACTGGAGCTGAAATCCAAGAGGGAATGTAACTGTAACTTGACAGTTAAGACACAACAGCAGTGTTTAGGCAAAAGAGTTTCTTTGTCCAGTACTACAATTGTAAAGATTCACTTTACAATTGGCCTCTGAATTTAAAAAAAAATATCATTAGTGTTTTTTTTTGTCAGTTTTTTTACGTAGTTTTTCCTAAACCAATAGACACACAGAAGTAGTGGGGACTGAGACATACATAACAGGACAACAACAGCTATAACCTGAGCATCCAAACTCCCAGAGTTATCTAACAGAACACCTCAGCTGTTATAATGATCATGATTTATTGTAGCAGCTGAGAATGGGCACAAGGTCCTTTGGTGGACACCACTCACAGACTTTGCAGGCCACATCTTTGAGTCAGTAGTTTAATGCACATCATACTTTATCTTCAAGATTAACATAACCCAGATAAGCCACTTCAGTTCCAAGGTTTCACTTACATTAAGAAAATTTACACATTTCTCCTTCTTTAGTGTGAATGCTACAATTTAGAGCCAGAATTAATTTTGTAAAGTTCATTCTCTTAAGAGGCTGATTACTCCTTAATTTTAAAACATTTACGATCTTTCCAGTATTTTCAAAAACCTCCATCTTCTGAAATACTTTTCTATTGCCAGCATTGGTTTGGTTTTGTTTTTTTTGTTTGTTTGTTTTATGGGTTTTACTTTTTTTTTTTTTTGAGTGAGTGAGGGTGGAAAGGTTGATATAAGAATTTTTTACTTGGTGGCACAAAAGCATTAAGCTTTGGAGCAGAGAGAGTTAAAAACAGAAAGCACATTTATAAGGATAAAAGCTTCCTTGCAAGCAGAAGATTCTGTAGCTACAGCTTAGCAAACACTAACATGTCAAGCAAAAGCAGCCTACCATTCTTTAAGTTTTGTAACTCTAAGTACAAAATATATGCAACTTGAAGTAGTCTATTATAAACTGTTCTTACTTAATAATGTGCAATTTTATCTCTTCAAAGACTAACCTTTACTAGAAGCTCTGTTACTTCATAATGACCATAGGAACAGGCATTGTGAAGTGGCACCAAATCTCTATATAGGAGAGAGAGGGGCAGGATGATTATCTTAGTATGTGTATTTCAATTTCAAATGCATCTGTAACATTGCAAATGGCACTGTGCTGCACCTTGATCACTTTATAAAAATATCAGAGGTGTTCAAAGGAAGTTGAGGGGAAATACGAAGCTGGAGAAGAACCCAGAAAATAACTTCAGCATTTTTCATAACAATAAATGTTTAAAATAAACAGAAGATGAGCGATGTCTACTGCAAATGAAGTCATTCTGGTGAGACTCAGAATCCTAAGCAAGAAGAACTATCTACAGTGGATTTTCAGGCGTGCCAGTAATTATTTCCTTTATCACAGGAACTTTGCTGTAAGATTATCTTCTCCCTTAGAAACTAGCCAAGTATTATTGGCTAATGTTTAAGGAACAATATGTACAACAACAGCAGAACCACAGAGGTTTAGAGCTAGCTTCATAAGCTCTCAAACCCCATCATCTTAGGAGCAAGTGAGAAATTGCTCGAAGTGAATTCTTTCACTGTGAGCTAGTACGGGAGAAATTACAGAATTGAATTACAACCCCAGGGGGACATTAAAGCTGTATGATCAGGCAGCTATTTACGTAGCAGTGAAGTGATCCTAGCAAAAAAAAGGAGTAAGAGTTTGTTTTCCATAAACTTTAATGTACATCAATACACATTTTAAAAGTAGGTTTTGCATTATATTTTATGTAACGAAACTTAGCATGCCTGGATTTCACTACATTTCTTTACATAGCAACCAAATGCTTGAAAATGTAGCCCAAATAAAAGCCCTGTGAAACAGACCTTCAATTTTTATCATATTCTTTTGCAAAAAAAAGAAGTGCAGAAACTTAAAAGAAGAAAATTAAGATTGATTCAATCATCGAAATATTTGATGACTTCATTCACAGTGCTGTATGAATGCATTTTATTAAACAAGACATAAGAATTTGGCTAGTGATACCTAAAAGGCAGCATGTTCTACAGTGAGCTCAATTTAGATTCGATTGATGCACAAGTCTCAAGCCTGTACACTTTGCATTTTTGTCATAACAGAAAAGTTAAAAATGACATAATGGTCTCAAGTCAGAAATTCTTCATGGCTAAAACAGTATTACTCTTCTTTACTTCTTCTCAATTTTAAACAAATTCTGTTTATTCTGAACAAATGAAAAAAGGAACCTACCCTTTATCCTTAGCATGTACGTCAGCCCCATGTTGCAATAAGAGCTGTACTATTTTTACACGGTTATACCCAGCTGCTAAATGTAAAGGAGTAGACTGAAATGACAGAATGTAGAATTAATCAGTAATACAAAATCAAAGGGTTGATTTTATATTTATTTTTTTCAAAACTTAACAGTACTAGTTACTGAAATCCTTAAAATAATTGCAACATAAAAAAAAAACAAACCCAGAGTGCTTGCATCAGACATTTGATAACTATGTTCATTGTTTACTGACCACTCTAGCAGTCATCAGAAACACAAATCCTAAATTTACTCCATCACTAATACGTTCTGGCAATGAAGACCTTAAAGGATTTTTGAGTCCTGCAGTCTGCTTTTGTCTTTTAGCCTACAGACTTTGCTGGGACAAACTACGGCCCTTCTGAAAAGGGAAATAAGATGGCCATTAGAAATTATGACTGCTAAATTATAAAGAGGTCTCCCTGTCAATCAATAGATGAAGTGTAAAAATTATCAACAGAGATTGTAATCCACATCTGTGAGTGCAGTAACTTAACCTTCTCTTGTAAATTCTCACCCTCCACACAGCACTTGGGTAACTGCTCTATGATCTTTTGTGGCAAACCCACTCAAGCATTCCCATCAGCAGCACCAGAGGCAGTGCTACAAATTAGTTAAGAGAAATCTTATCCTCTTCATTTACAAACCCATCAACTGAACTGGGCTTGTATGGCTCCTAGAAGATGAGTCTCATGAGTAGAAGATGAGAAAATACAGATGCATAAGTGTTTTGGAGATCCCAAAATCTTACCACAAAGCCTTAAATAGGGAAACCTAATTCAAACAAAACTTAAGTGAATGAGTACACATACTTAATAAGAACAATGAGGATGCCAAAAATTGATACTCAATAATCTGAATCTTCAGTAGGTCAGGGGCTGAACCCAGGGGATTATCAGGACTTTTTAGAATGCAGATTTTGAACATTTTTCATGTAGTTCCTTACCAATACTTGTAGCAATAAACAGCTTGCTCCTGAAACAGCAGCAATAACTTGCCTAGGCTGCATGGCAAAATAAGGAACCTGTGTGTATCTCTCTGTGATAGCAATAAGAATCCATGAAAAGGTCAAGCATAAGTTCCAATTGAAAAGGTGTTTGTTTACTGCTCCCAGATGGAAATACCTACACAATCCTTTTAAGGTTAAAAAACAAACAAACAAAAAAATCAGCTACACTGCTAGAGAGGTACAATCTTATTTTCCCACATACATTAAAGGAAATGGATAGAATCTAAGTTTACCATTCTTAAAATCTGGTCAAATAGTAACTGTGAAACATATGAGAGTGAACTGATTTTAAATCAGGTTTTAAATAAAAATACCTTTCTGCCATCGCTTGCATGACAGTTAACATTTAATGGTGTAAGAAGAGACATCATCTTTTCTTCATTTCCACTCCTGAAAAACGAGATACAAAATGGGCAAAAATATTTGTATTTCAATTTTTAGTAGCTTCTAATGTTTTACATTTTTCCTTGCTACGTTTGCTAGACCTGTTTTAAACTAATACATTTGCTGATGTGCTGTCAGCATTAAAAGGAAACAAAAAATGCATTTATGCAACTATTTTCGTAGCTCTGTTCACAGATAACAGCCAAAGCTTAGCATCTCGATGGAATGCCAGCTCAAAAGCCAACATATGTATTCAGTACACGCAATTCTAAAAATATAACTAAATTACAGTTATCTTCCAAACGTGCATACCTGGCACTTTCTAAGAGTTCATCTTTCTTATATTCACCTGGAAGACAAAAGGGAGTTTCTTTAGTTGTTAAATATCTATGTGAAGTTCACTACTTATCCTCCTCTTCCAAAACTTTAGAGAACATAAGTGCTAAAAATCTGGCAATCCATTACTGAATTAGCACAATAAATTATGTATTCAGAACACATCCCATGACTGAGACGATGAAGGCCATATGGGAATTTCTATTTAAAATTATAAAAGAGAGAAGTTAAAGTAATATCAGAAAGACAAAACCCAAAATACTGTATTACATTCATTTGCCTGTTATTAGTCATAATGTTATCTAAAGATTACCCCTTACCAGTCAGCACTGCTTTTGCAGACGGGTCTGCTAAGTCCAAAGCTGTTCTTCCATCTGTGTTTCGGATGGTTGGTTCAGCACCATGCTGCAGCAGTACTAAAAAATGCCAAAGTTTTCCATGAGAAAACAATTCTACAAGACAAAGCCTGTAAGATGTTATCGTTACTCTAAGCCACAAGCAACAAAAGAAACATCCAGTTATTGATCCTAATTTCCCCTCTCAAGTTTTTAGCATCAGAATTCCTTGATGTTAAACTGTTCACAAGTGACTAGTGAAAAATGCCTAGACACATTTTATGAGAAAAAAGCAAAGCAGAACTGGAACAATCACAGACTGGCAGGAGGCAATCTCAGCTGACTGTGACTGACAACCACAAAAAAAGAGTAGCTATTTCACAACAGCTCCAACTTGTTTCTTGCAAAACTGGCATTTGAGTTTAAGTTTATGATAGATTTTTAGTTTTAATCTTTATACCAGTCCTAGCTTCATAGAGTAAAAATGGTCTTTAAAAGGTTGTCGACTTTTCACAGTGAAAAGAAATGATTCAGTCACAGGAAGTGTGGGAGAAAATTACCAATGCAGACATCTGTCTTGCCCTTAATGGCAGCTTCATGAAGGGGAGTGTAATTCCAATTATCCCGAGCATTAGGATCTGCACCATGCCGCAAGAGAAGATTGACAACTTCAGCATGACCAAAAGAGCAAGCGTTGTGAAGAGGAATAAGGCCTCCATCATCTCGTGCGTGGACATTGGCACCACTCTGAAGTAAATATTCAACTACGTCCTTTCGACCAAAACCTGGAAGAGATAAAGGGAGGAAAGGTATCAAGTGTAAGAGAAGTCCCTGTCCCACATACACAGATTAAAACAACAAACTTAAATAACAGTAACTGTTCCAAGTAATAATCACAACTGGCATTCTTTATTAAAAGTGCATATACACACTAAAGGTCTTCGAATCAACCCAAAATTAGATTAAAATAAATACAAAAAAACTTATATTCAAGATTCCTGGAAAAATAAATATCTTCATAGGGCTCCAATGAGTCAATAGCTTCTTGAAAACATAACAAAAAGAACACAACAGTGACAAAAATACCCTCCTTTAATTATTTTATATTGCCATTAAACCAAACAATGTTTTGAATCATATTCTGCCAACCCACAGCCAGTTTTTGGATGGACCAATAGGTGAGCCCTGGAAGCAGTAAGGATAAGAATGGTTACAAGTCAATGCATGTACAATTCGTATTCTAAGCTTTTTAAAAAAGATCCCAAAACATGGAAAGTATTTTACAGAAACACATTGATAGCATTTTTTAAAAAACAAGTAAGCAGCACTGCTCCCAGGTTCAAACTAGAAGCATGGCTATTTGCTTTCTAAGGAATAATCAACATAATGCACACAGTTTCCATCTTAGAAATGATCACTTAAGCAAACCCTTAGGGACACAGAAAGTTTATCTGAAACCATGCTCTATTCAAGTAATTTATTATGAGAGTATGCACAACTGTAATTTAAAGATATTCATAATGCCTGTTTTCAGCAATGCCTAAAATGATTATAAATATTTGATCGTGACTGAAGCACAAAAGTGCTGTTATACATTGAAGTTTGTTGTTTTTTTTTGTGTGGGTTTTTTTTTTTTTTTTTTTACAAACCTGTCATTCAAGTTAAGGGACAGCAAAAAAATATTCCCACTTTTACACTTGGAGCTAGAAACATATCACAGGGTAACTGTTCTTATAAAACAATTTTACAGCTATAAGTGTTTAATTTCAGCTGTGTCTTGTGCATTCATATAACAGCAGATAAATGAGGACATCAACCTGTATCGACACTTTCTTGAGCATCTTCATAAGAGGCCAGAGTGACCTTGGACTTCTGCTTGCAAAAATTAGGTCCATCTGGTTACATTCTAAAGGCCACTGCCTACAGAAATCCCTCAAAGGTTTCAAGAAGGTCACTTTGGGTCTTAGGGATTATTAGGGCACGTAAGAGCCATATTTGGGTATGTATCAACTTGTGCCAAGTACCTCCTGGGAAATAACCCACACGTGCTGGACCTGGCTGACATTCCTTGCTTCAAATACCTGAGTTGCTACCTGGAAGAACTGGGGGAAAATCAAGTCTTGAGCTTTTTACTCAGAGGAAATCATCACACTGTTGCCAAAACCAGGGATACTCAGATTGCAGCAAATTTAAACTTTGTTACAAATCATTCATGGAAGGTCAGAAGCTAGCTATAAATCCCTGCAACCACAAGCTAGAAATAGTTTATTCCAGTAGCTACACAGTATTTCAGTGACAAAGACACAGAAGCATGAAAGAAGCCTCAGAATTTTAGTTACAACTGAAGTTTTCAGTTAAGTTCCAGCTGAACTTTTTCATAGCATGTTCTTCACTAAACTCAGCTATTTCCAAACTGTCAGCAACCAAAATCCTGGAGCAAGAAGCACTTTCACCTTCACTATTCGACCTGCAAAAAACAAACACTGCCATTACGAGGCAATTTCTGGATCTTGCCTTCTGAGAGATCTTGCATGTAAGCCATATATGCCACAGGTAAAAAGGCCAGGAAAGGTATTCAGAAAAGCCTTTCTAAAATTCTGTCTTTCCTTCTTTTCCCTCAAAAGCCTGGCAAACAAACCACATTCTCCACAGATTTCTGATTAAAAATTTTCACATAAAATTATTTTTATAATAATCTCAGCATGAACTCCAAGGTGTTTTCAAGTAACAGTCACAAGACTACACTGGCAACGTGCTTCAAGTTTTCAAAGCACATTTCCAACAATACAAATCATAGCCTGCTAGTACCTTGACTACAACAGAACCACGTACTATAGCAAATTTGCTTTTGAGTCTCAAGATTGCAGTTACCCATCTTTTAACCAACAGAAGGTACCTTACCTATCCTAACAAAAAACAGGAGCTCAGCATACTTCAGATGAAAACTGGATCAGATATATGGTCTGTGTAGAAACAATTTATCTGCCCAGGCACAGTAAGCCACATTCACTGCACATGCATGCATACTTCTGCTGCCAAAAAAAAAAAAAGTAATCAGTGCCTATACGACATATACCTATGCAGCCATACTGTCTAGACAGTAAATTATATGCAGTGTATTTCTCATTCTTAAATTTAGCCTTCATAACTAAGACATTTAAATATTGTTATTTTTTTATAAATGTGTCCAGATTTTTGTTTTCAAAAATTAAAAAAAAAATCTGTTTGAATGTATACTCAAAATTGTCTATGTTATTTAAAGATCTACTTAGATGTGACTTTTCACAAGTGCCAGAGCCCTGCAAACACATCAAAGCTGTTGCTTGATGACAGACTGCTTGGTATCTTCTTTCAGTACCAAAAAATGTTTTCCAGAATTGCTTTAGCCATATTAGAAAAGCCTCTGATCAAATTCTCTGTCCAGATCTCTGCTAGATAAACCACTCATTCTTGTACAGAAGGCATTCCTGTCCCCAAAGCTTTGCTGCATAGCCATGTTTTTGAAAGTAAAATGTCCACCTTAGCAGGAATTAACACCATAACTGAAAATCAGCTGTGGAAAGTTCATCTGAATGCCCTCTATTTAGTACATAGGTTCAAACAGGTACAGCTCATGAACAACACATAGCTTCTCTCTGCTCAAAGCCTGCATCCACTTGGAAAATACCCTAACCATAGCAACATCCCTAAACTACCTGTAGTTACTTTAATGTTGAGACAGGATCATTTGCATCACACTAATCTTTGTAACTTCGTTTCAGCACTGAGTGCGCAGCAGGGATTCCTTACTTCCTTGTGGAAGCATCTGCCTAACAGGGCACCATATATGGGAAGAGAAGTATTTCCTCATTATTTTTTAAAGGGTGTATGTGCACAGAGGGGATGGCCAAACTCTGTATGATAGTCCCTCTCTCCTCTCGTTTTCACTGAGAGTGGAAATGGGACAGCCTTTCACACAGGAAAGTGAGCCACTGTCTAGTGCAAAAATTCTTCTTTGCCATTAGTTGACTGCAAAAAAAAAAGAAAACAACACACCCCAAAACCCCAAACCAACCCAAAAGCAAACACTGTCACTTTTAAGGGGTGGAGGTTTTGTGCGATTTTGTTTGGCTCTTGAGCTTCTATCAAAAGACCAACTAAACGGTATCACAGCTTGCAAATGTGCAGGATAACTGAACATCATGAATGCTTTATTTCTTGCTGCAAAGCAGAAAAGCTATTCAGGGCCTCCAGCTGACATTCTTCTACCACAGCAGAGTAGCTCCCTGCACTTGTCAGCTAAAGTTTGTAACTTTTTGGAGAACAAATCCTGAATATTAATCACAGTAGAAACTTGTAGCAGTATATGAATAATAATAAAAAAAAAAAATTACAGTCACTGTTGTCATGACTGACGTTCATTTAATTTTGACAGGATGAAAACCTAACAGAAACAACTGAGCTCCAAGTCTTCTCCCCTGCCTAAGGCGCTCATATTTTCAATGAATTTTAGTTTGAGGGAAAAGCATTTTGGTTCCTGCCAAGTCCCTAAACCCTTGTGATACTTTACAGTTTGACATACACTGCAATGAAAAGGGTTGACTTCAGGAAGTATATGCAGCTTATAGTGAGAGAGGACTGTGCCTATTATGTTGTGAAGGGTGGTGGGCTCTGGACTTAGGTTTCAGTACAGCCTATCTACACACACGATTCTGCACTACAAAATCCAAAGAGCAACCTCTACCAAGATGCCAGTATGTATTACGTCTAATAATGACACATATACAGGGAGAGCTTGCAATATTTTTTAAGTATATTTTTAATATATTTTAAAATCCATCTTCCCAGAATGACACATGGAAAAAGAGGAATTTTATTTCTTTAAATTGCTACACAAGATCTGGGAAAAGACTTAAAAACTGGAACCCAAGTTCAAACCCCACAATGCCACTAAAAAAAGACCAAAACGTCAACAGAAAAAAAAAAAACAACTCTGCATACTTCAGCTCCGCCTCTTCCACAAAACAAGTCTTGAAGCTGAATGAAACTAGTCAGAGAAGTTTTGTAATGCACCTTCTGAGAACAACTAGCCACCTAGGCTAAACAAAGCAAGAATACAACACACTTTTGCTTTTACTTCCTGAAATGTAATTCCTTTAGAGCCAGAAGACAAAAGAAGCTACTATTATTCCAACTATGAATAATGGGGGAAAAGCAAAACAAAGCAAAAACAATAAGCCCAAAATCCAAGAGTTACACATGCCCATTTTTCACATTGAGTCTATTGCAGGTAGGCTGACAACAGCAAAGTTTTATGTGAAGCACAGGAAAAGCATTAAATTGAGAAATTACACAAGTATTTTATGCCACATGTGAACCAGGAACTTTTGACATCTCGTACAGTCACCTGAGAAGAGCAATTAATTTCTCTGTATCAAGTCTGAAGCAGACACAAGCATGGCAATTGCTTCCAACACACCAATCTGTTACACAACACTGGAAGTCTAAAAACTACATTAACTTACTGCTGTGCCCTTTTTAAAGAAAAGGCTCTCTATAGACCAGGAGTCCTTTGAAGTCAAGACAGATCAACTCCTGTCCAGAGAGAGAAACTAGATCACTATATTGCATGAGGAACTCCTTAAACACAGCCTGCTGTAAAATGTACTCATTTGTCTAGAAGTTCAGCATTTACTAGTGCAGTACTGCTGGATATAAAAAGATAGCTGCAGATTTTTTTCCCTATGACAGGATATTTTGTCTCCTGGGCCCTCTTGTTGACCAAGTTTCTTAGATCTGTGAAAGCAGCTGTCCTGAAGAGGCTTTCAAGAACTTAGACCTGTTGCATCTACTGGAAAGGACACCTGAAGTAGAAACCCTCTTCTAAAACCACTCGGTAAAGAAACAAAGTTCATTATTACTATTCATACTGTTTAGCTGAAAGAAGCCGCTCTCTTCTGCAGCCTGCCAGTCTTAGGGTTTGACATCTAATGGTGTAATCAAATCAAAACAAACATGAAAACAACAGTCACAGTCAGGTCTTTGTCTGAAAAGGTGGGATACAATCCTCTGTCCTGTTGCCAGCAGAAGCAGTTGTTCTGTGATGTCAGTTGTTTGGGCATCTAAGGCCCGAATTAACAAAGTCCATTTGTTAAAGATACAAATGCAGGCACTCTTCCAGGGTGAAATTTTAAAGATTAGCAGGCCTGCTAAAATCAATGGAAAAAGCACCTGGGGCATATGTTACCTGTCAGAGCTCACATGCCACAACACGAACAGTCTAAATCCCAGTCCAGATGTCCCCAGCACCAGCAAAGGTTCATTTAAATAAACAAATAATGAAACAGAAGGGCAGAAACAAGACGCCACCCCGACCACTCTGCAACCACTACCGCGCGGGTGACACCGAACCAGCCACGCGGTTGTCGGGCGGGCAACGCACCTACAGGCACCCACAGGCCGTACACCGCGGCTGGCCAAGCCTCCCCACGGCGGGGCGCGCGAGGAACAGCGCACCCTGGGCCCGTCCGCGGGCCAGGCCCCACGCCGACAGGAAGACGGAAGTGCGCGATCCGGTAGCACGCCTGGCCCCAGCGGGGCTGCCCCCGCGTTCCCCTTTTCCCCACAGAAGCGGTAACGGCCGCCTCGGGCTGGTACCTGCAGCGAAGTGCAGCGGACTGGACTTCCTTCCCGCCGTGTCCCGGCTGTTCACATTCTCGGGCCGTACCAGCCGCTTAACCCGCTCCACGTCCCCGTTCCTGCAGGCCTCGAAAAGCTCCCGAGCCGGTTCCGCCGCAGAGCCGCAGCCCGGCGACTCAGACAAGGCGGCCACTCCGCCCGCGCACCGCCGCCCCGCCATGCCAGGCCCGCCAGAGGCGGCCAAGCAGACCCCGCCACCCCGCTCCCAGGCCGGGACCCTGCGCGGCAGCAGCCCTGCACACGCTCCGCTGGGCGGGGCGCTAGGGCCAGCGCACCGCGGCGGAGGGATCCGGGCCGACCTTCCACGGCAGCACTGCCGG